CAGATCCTGGAATAATCAGTGGTTCCTTTGAATTCTGCTGTATGTATGAAATGTGAATTATTCATCACGTGTTTTAGCCTGGTTTCTACATGTAGTTAAGCCTATTCTTAATTTTCTTTCTTCGTCACCTTCCAATCAGGAAATTATACCATTGCCTCAAAATCTGGCATTCTTCATTTTGTTTAGAAGGTGTAAATCTAGTAAAGCCTGAACAGAGAGCTGTTGCCAAACTGATGGCTGCCTTTTGTCTCTGTAGATTGTATTTCCACAGCTGTCAGTTGAGATGGTTGCTCCCTGTATAAAGTGGTCCTAGAGTCATGCACGTGGGAGGGATTTTAATCTTAATAGATTTTTTTTTAGCCCTTCCTACACTGAGTTTCAAAGTATAGTAAATATAATGTGTGCCATTCTAAAGGGTGATATTTTGGCTTTTGTATCTTTTAGGATAACATGTTGTGGCTGAAATGGTGTTTTAAGTAGAACCCCTGGAGAAGTTTTTGCCAACAATCATTTTGACATCCCATGTGCTCTACTATAATAAAAACACAGAATAAATAAGCTAAAGTAGGTGGTCAGGATCCTGTTATGATGAAAGCAACTATAATTTCCTACATAATAATGAAAAGCAAAGGAAAACCCTGCACAAATAGTTTTAATCAGTGTTTAAAGACTAGTCTCCCAGGCTGTTGCTTGTTTGACAAATAGTCTCGGCTGGAGGTAGAATTGGAGTGGGAAAACAAATAATTACTAAGCACAGATAATAGAAATTCCTGGGCAAGTGTAATAAAAAATTGTTCCAAATACCGATGAGGCCAGTTTGACTCATGGTGGACATGGGTTATCTCTCCCCGCTCTGGATTGTTTCACAGAACGAATGATTTCAGACTCTGAAGCTGCAGGAGGTTTAGGCATGCTCAGGTAGAATGCTGGCACATGTTAGGTTAGCAGTTTTGATTTTCAAGACTATTGAATCAGATTTCATCACATCAGAGGCTGTCAAATCTAAGAGGAGTCATCTGATCCAGAGATGCCCAGTATATGACATGTGTGCTGCTAGTTTAATTCTCTTTATCCCCTTCTGACTGGGACCAACATTATTAACTGATCATGGTTCTCTTTAATACTGAGTCTAGATTTAGCCTCAGAATCCTTCTCCAATCAGAGGTGCAGACAGCTTCTTGTAATTAATGAATCAGAACTGTTTGAAACCTGTTTGCCATCCCTGACTGATTCTAAACTTCCTGATGAAAGAATATAAGAGAGTTGACTATGACTTGCCCAAATCACCTGCTACTGAGTAACTGAGGCAAAATTGAAATAGAGGTTCCCTGGCTCTAAATTCAGGATTCTTTCTATTACCTTATATGGACTAAAAAGGATTTTGAGATCTTAGGAGGAAAACTGCTTTAGGTATCTCATCAATTATAGCTTTGTCTTGCACTTACAATAATGTTATGGCCTGTTTTCCATCTAGGAACTCCTAGTGATACAAAATTACTTATATACTTTATTTTTTATCATTTGATCCCCTATTTAATTATAATTGTATTCTTAAAAAGGCACACAGACACATAGAAGAGGGTCATTTAAGAATTTTTTTTAGGAAGAAGGTAGTGTAATATTCCATTTGCATTTTGAGAAAAACATAAAATAATGACACTATTGACAACTATCATGATTATTTTTAATTTAGGCTAATTATCTACGAAAAAAGATTCCTACCTTGTATTCATTTTTTTTTGGTTTTGATAATTTTAAAATGAATATTTATATCTATGTATAATTTAATAATTTTAATTAAAAATTCAAAACTGAATTCAAATGGAAGAAAACAATTTCTCATCAACTTTAAAAATTAATCATTTGCTTAGGTTATTATAAGTAAATTCTCCATTTTTGCCACTTTGAAATTAGATTTCGGTAATCCTTGCTCTCATTTTATGTTCAGTGTTGTTTTTGCTTTTTAAACAGAGAAACTATTCACCTTGCTGAGTTGTTATTTTGGAGAGGAAAAAGTTCAATACACAGATTCATAAATTTGTAATGGCTTATGTTAGTTTCTTATTGAATTGGTCTTTGAGACAATTACTGTAGCTTGATCTTTTTTATGTCTACCTTCTCTGGTAATAGAAGGGGCTTTTTATTTAGAAAAATATGAATGAAAATAGAATTGGTTAGTAAACATGATCAGAGAAGAGGTTTTAAAATCTTACTTTAGAAGCGGTAGCATCATCCTTATCAACTTCAAGTTTTACTCCTTTCTCCTTTTCCTTCTCTGGAACTCTAGGAATGACAAGAGGCATAGTCAGAATTCCCTCTAGCAAGGGATGTAGACAGGGATGTGAATATATAAGCACATTTCATACAGTCTCAATCCCTATTTCCAAGTAAACTCTTAGCAGTTTCTTTAACAGTCCTCGACCTTACAGGAAGAAAAAGGACCAAAGTTTGCTCTTTCTGCACACTTCAGTAAACAAAAATACTCTCATATGTCAATTAAGAAATTGGATTAAACCTGCCAATTATCTCACTACTAGAAAACATGTGTTGAGAGCTTATTAAAGGCAGGCCAAACTATTAAACTCAGACTTTCTCAGCTGGGATACACCTCAATTTATTGGAAATAATCAAGTAAAAATTAAATGACTATTAATTTTAGATACACAAAAGTCATTTTCACTTTTGTAAAATGGAAGAAATAACATTAATCCACCTGGCCAATAAGTGTTATATTATGTATAGGGTGCTTTGTGAAGGTAAAATGATATTAAAATCATAATAAAGCTTCACTTTTATTTGCCTATATTTATGTCACTTTTGCTGAAGAAAATTGCCTTCATATTTTTCCTAATAAAATAAACATTTTTTAAAAATTTTTAGAGAACAGAAATTGATAAAATAGACTTAAATTTGATGGACTCCTTAGAAAAATCATTATCAGGATTATAGTTATGCTTTGAATATATTTAAGCAGCTTAAATTGATTCTGTTACATGAGTGATAATGCACATGAAATTATCTTAAAAGTGATTGTGCACTGTGTAGATGGCACAGTTTTATAAAGTAGTTCTATGTTGATGTTAAAATGTGACCAGATACGCTTATCTAGACATGAGCACACATCTGACATAAATTGACTTGATGGTTCTCCAGAACTGGAATTCCAGTTCTTACAGTTATCCACCCACATGTCTTGAACAAGTGCCTAGTTAAACAGATGGGTCTTGGGCTGTGCTCTCAAAGCAGGCAACCTCCACCTTCATTGAGCAAAACATTGGTCTAAAATAAAATAGGTTATATTGTGTTATTGTGATGCTGGGCACAATAATTTGAGTGTAGAACTACTGTTCATTATTGTTGTTGTTTGTTGTTGGAAATAACTTTTTCTTTATGAATGACTATGTATAATTGGAGGACAACAGATGGAATTTCAAGGATCTGGAAAACCAATAGATAGGGAAAAAGTTCTCAGTCAAATATAAAAGTAAAAAATCAGCAGGAGTGTGAAATGCCAGTTTTATAAATGTGTGTAGCAAAGATTTTTAAGAAAATGTGTGAATTAGCCAGGAGACATCCTGAGATTTCCCCCATCCACTAAGGGGTATGGAACCAAAATAGGATTCACAGCATCTTTCCCTCATGTCCCTTCAACAAGTTACCACCTCAGCAGTTACCACTTTGATTTGGGGCAGGATATTAAGTCCTGGTTACCATCTATGTAAATGCTATGCATTTTCACTGTGAAGTCAGAAGGATTTGGGGGACTTGAGGTGGCAGTTTGGCAGATGACTTTATAATATCAGAAGTGAGTTTGTTTATGGTTGACCAATGGCATTGCTACTCAAAAAGCACTGAGGGGAAGGCAAAGGCAGCAGTTAGATGGCCTGGTACTTGGAAGATCACAAGAGACAAGCTTTGATGCTTTAATATTGACATATTGAGAAAACCTTCAAAGACATTTGTTCTCCACAGATTTTCATGATGTTCTCTTTAGAGTTGCAATAATTAGCAAGCCATCACATATGAATATAGGCATTTATTCTTGAAATGCTCCATTATTTATTGATAGATTCAGTAACACTGATACTTGCTTCTCTTAATTATGGTGGTACACAATATGTGGACATCACACTAAAATTCAAGTTAGATTCCTACTCCTCTTTCTTAAACGATTTCTTTAATCTTTTGGTAGCTCAGGTTTCTCTACAAGGAAAGGGACCTTGGTCGCCACATACTTTATTTGGCTGCAGGATTTATGTTTTCTGGCTTTAGTTACTATATAAATGTAGGCATAAGATTGCTTAATCCTTCAGCAGGAGTCTGCAATGGAACTTTCTGAAAATTTGACCTCTAAAAAAAATCTAAATGGAATTGCTTGATATTTTGCTTATTATTTGGCTTCTATAATTGTGTGTCCTAGATTAATGGATAAATAGGTAAGAAATGAAATACTGTTTTACAAAAATGTTTAAAGTTTGTTTCTTTCCTTTGAGTAAAAATCTTAATGCAAGAAGAATAAATTTGTTACTATTTGAGAGTTAGTTCTTATTGCAAAGTGTCTTGAGATAGCTCTATTTGATGGTGTTTAATTTAATTAAAATTGTCATTATACTGTCTTGTTACATTGTCCTTTGAAATTGTTGAAATTGTCTAAATAACATTGTTCTATCTGTACTTGATAAAACGGAGAAACCAGAAGATTAATTTAGATACAGAATAGAAATAAAAGGGTCACAATATGTACTTCATTTTATTAGACGGAAGCACATTATAAAAATGGTTATTTGAAGAGAAAAAAGAGATAAAAGTAGTGAAGTATTTTAATTTTCATACCATCATAAAACAGTAGTAAATTCTGTCTTTATATGAAAATACATATCTCACTATGAATATGACATGATCATTATCAGATTTTTCTTGAATTACTCTTTATTTTTATATATTATTTGTATATATTTTATAATTATCTAATGTCTTTTGTTTTCTTTTCTTTTAAACAGCAAATACCAGTCTTCTTGGAGGAGGAGGTGGTAAGTCCTGAACATCACTTAACTTAAAATATATTTTATTACTACACCAACCATAAGATGTTTAGCAAGTTCTGTGATACTTTTAAAGAAAATTAATTTTGCTGTAGTCATCAACCATGAAAATTATAATCTTCCAGAAGGTAATTTGTAATAGAAATACCTTGGGTTTGTTCAGACGTTTGTTTTAACTGATTTCAAAATACGTGGAATGCTGTTGTTCTTCTTATTGGGCTCTGAATTTCTGCCTCTGGCATAAGCTGTAGCAGCTACAAGCTACTCAGTTGAACACACACACAGTAGGGGATGGAGTGGTTTTTAATATGAATTCTAAAACAGTACATCTGGAGAATCGTGGTTTTCGTCTTTTTTTTTTTTTTCATCACAGTGACTTAAAAATTTTGTGACTTTGTAGCCTGAGACCTTAATATATCAGTGACTTAAAAAGGAAATTAATACTGACACTCTGCAGTCATCAAGCCCTCAAGCTCTAGCTTTTCTGCTTTTCCTTCCTGATGCATGGAACTCAGGGTCCACGATGGCTGCCAGACTCCAGCCATTGTAAATACGGGGGTTGGGAGGAGTAAGCAAAAAATCAAAAAGCTGGCCCCTGGAAGATGAGCCGGTTTTCTTACAGCAGCCTTACCTGAAATCCCACATTATCCTTGAACTTGATCAAATGTTCATTCATGGAAAATACAGTTTTATTCCAGTAAGCAATGTGCTCATCACAAAAAGTTGTGTTCTGTTTTCCAAGGAGGAAGGGGAGAGCAGAGGTTTTGGCCTGCCATGAGTAGTCCCTGCCACTGTGGGAAGGCAGGCTACTGTTCAGGCAGCCTTGTCAAGCTGCTTTGTTTCACTGTATGTGTACATGGTTGGCGTGTATAAATCGACTGTAGTCAGCTGGCCCATATTCCCTTGTGGTTCCTCCAACCTATGTGGGAAGATACATTGAGCATTTTTAGCAATGGTAGGATGCTGAGGAATAGGAAAACTCAGCTTTCTGTTTGCCTGAAGTATATACTTGACTGTCCTCTAGATGATTGATTTTGCTAAATGCAGGTATTTGCCATAATTTCTAATTTTTGAATTGTAAAATTAGCAGTTCAGCATCATCATAAAGGTAAATTACAAGCATTTAAGGTGGCTGTAATCTCCTTCATTAAAGTAGGTCATTGACAGGTTGAAATTCATTTATGCACTTCTGGAGATGTCAAGATTGCTCTCAAATACATGTCTGATTTTTGGAAAGGTACATCTAACAATTAAATTTAAGGAATATTTTTACCCTTCTGTCAACTGGTGTTGGCCTTTTGATTCTACGACAAATCTTTTTAATCCTGTCAGTGGTATTTGTCAAGTAACAACTAATAACCATCCAAGAAGGAGCACTTGAATGGATATAATCCTCTTGAATTTGATCAGTGATTCCTTTTATTGACTTGAATTAATAGCCCCTCAAAAGCCTCTAAAGGGAATAATTCTTTAATTGACTAAACAATTTGATCAAGAAAGTTTGACATCACGTGGAAAATAATGATGGTACCTTAAGAACCACTGTTTTCAGGTCCTCAGGGGGACTTCCCCCCAATTCTGTATGTTGCACTTGAAATTTAGACAAAATCAGTCTGTACAAAATTGTGTTATCCATAATCTTAGTATTTTACTGTTCTATTTTGAGTGCTTATAACCAAGACAAGAGGTCTCCTAAAAGGAGATTTTAAAAATGATCACAGTCATCCTCTCAGTTCTGATTTTAAAGTGAGAGAATCATTTCACATAGGTGTGAATTTTCATCTTTGGGCCAGAGGTCACTCTTTTTAGGGACTTAGTGTCACTGACTACAGTTCATTGAATGGATCATCTCTGTGCATATTTCCTAGATATGTTAAAGGCACAATAATATGCTAATTATTTAGGTAAGAATGTAACTGGATTCTACCTTCCAGGAAGCCTTTACATTACCTTTATATGGTATAATGTCAAAAACCCTTAGAAATTCTATTAATTTTTTGCAAGTTTTCTAGTCATTGCTCCCAGTAGTACCCTGCATAGCTGTATAGCACCTTGATACATAAAACAAGTAAATTTTATTTTCTCATTTAGAACTTTTATTAGTCAGAGCAGGCTATATCAGGCTGTGGTAACAAACTTAAAAATCTTAGTGGCTTCAACAATAAGGTTAATTTCTTGCTCACATCATAGTTTGAGTAGAATTGGTGGTCTCCTACTCAGGGTCTCCAACAGGTTATGACACAGAGTCTCAAGTTACTTCCCTCTTTTGTGGCTACACTATGTGACATGTGGCCACAGTCACAGAACAGGAAGAGAGAGATAGTGGATCCTGCAGGATATATTTATAGACCAGTTTGTGAATGGCTCACATCACTTCCGCTCATGTTCATTGGTCAGAAATCAGGCAAGTGACCCCCAACCTGACTACAAGGAAGTCTGAGAAGAATGGAGTCTTCCAGCACTCCCAGGAGGAGGAAACGGGGCGGTGAATATATAGCACTGTCTCTGCCACCATGCTCAAATGAGACCAGTGTTATTTAATAATAATAATAATAACAACAACAACAACAACATTATTTTAGGGTTGAGGGAAATGTGACTTAGGGCGATTTGGTGACTTCTACAAGGTTTCACACCTTTTAAAGGCAAAGGTTCAGTGAAGACAGGGTTTTTGACCTGCACTCAGAGCTTGTGCCTTTGTTCTGTGATTTTTAATCTATCTTTGCTCTTTACATTTGCCTTTTCCCTACACAAGTAGGTAACTTGGAAAAATGAATGAGAGGATAAGAAAACATGCAGCTGAGACATGGATGATACTTCCCTTGGGCTTATTTTCACTTCTTAAGCTCAGTTGATAATCTGAAAATATATACAATATCACTGTCTTATGGCACCTTTGGATTGCTATCCAGATGCATATACTTTGTGTATTTGAGGTTTAGTCTTAGAACATACTGCATTTTAAATACATGTTTACTTATCTGTAATAAGCATATTTTACATGCAGAAAGTCATGTGATATTGTACTTTTGGAATATATAATTTAAAAAAAAACACCTTTACAGCCAGTCTAAAATTATGCCAAGATGCGGAATTAGAAAGGAAAATCAGAATTAAAGAGCTACTTCCTCGATTCCTTTCAGATCATCATGTACTGGACTGAAACATAATTTACAGTCTCTTACTTTGTATACTGTCTTTCCTTTTCATTGTCACAATAATTAACATAAGACTGGAATCTGCGGATAGAACCCAACCAGGACATAGTTTATGGAATTTGCTCCCCCATTTAGTCTGTCAAAACTCCTGATGCTAAAGCCTGAGGCAGAATGTTAGACATTTAAAATGACATTTCTTGATGGAGTGGCAATTTAAGGTTGGCTTTTTATACACATAAATTTGTAGGACTTCTTTTAAAATTGTATATATATATAAAATGTATAAGTGTGTGTGTGTGTGTGTGTGTGTGTATTTGTTTTAATACTGTAATTCTAAACCTTATCCTTGAGGTGATTCTGTAGCAAGTTAATTTTAATAGCACAGGGAAATATATACGTGATCTTATGGTAGCTCACAGAGAAAACAATGTGACGATGGATATATATATGTTCATGTATAACTGAAAAATTGTGCTCTACACTGGAATTTGACACAATGTTGTAAAATGATTATAACTCAATAAAAAAAAGTTAAAAAAATATAAAATCTCTAAGTATAAGCAACTGCCACTGAGTAAACACTCAGCCTGAGATGGAATGAACGGAAAACCACTTTTCCAGAGTGAGAACACAGCATGTAATACACCCTTCTCCACTTCCAAAGGCTTCTTGCTCTCCTTGTGCCCTTAAACAGGGCTTAGACTTGAACCAGGTGAAGTACCAGAGGTACTTCAAAAGCAGTGACATCGTGAAAGCACTTGGCTTCACACAATAGATGCCCTCCGTGTATCTCCACTCACCCATCACCTGCTTCTACATACATGCACACATGTGAGCACATGTCCATTCATTCATTCATTCATTCATTCAACAAGTACTAATTTAGAAACCACTGTGTGTCAGTACTGATTACTGATTTGGCAATAAACACTGCTCTTTCCCTTTGACCAGTCATGGTCCGTGTTTGGCTGAATTTTCTGAGCAATTATAATTCCCTGTGTTCTCTCAGGTGTTCCAAGGATTTTCCTTTAATGGATCTTTTGAATTAAAATGATATGACTTTAATATCAATAGAGTGGGCGTCCAGTGTCAGATTCCTTCTTTAAAAAGCAGAACAGATATCCTGAAAAGCAGTTTTTTTGCAAAAAAATCTGAGTTTCTAACAATAGGTTTAAAAGTCTTTTTCAGTGTGTTTCTTAAAAATCCACAAGCATTGTGGAGCACCCTCTCACCCTCCCTCCACATACAGAACAGAATCCCCTCCATGATTCCATGTTTCACTCTTGTTAAACCTTGAGATTTAGCTGGGCCTGAGGCATTAGAGGGATCGGGGATAGTGGTCCACAGTGAGGAGTCAAGTCCAGTTAAAGCAAGCAGGGTGCTGGGGGTTGCCCCTCACGAGAGTTAGTCAAGTGTGTCCGGCAGTGAGTTAGCCAGCTGCTCTGTGCTCAGTAGGTGAGGGGGTCCCAGCCATGGGCCCAGGGAGTAGCTGAAGTCTCTGAGTCCTGGGAGAGAGCAGCTTGGCCAACAAATTTAGGAGCCCTGGCATTCTTGGTCAGGTGGGGACCCAGTCTGAGTACAGTTTCAGGAAGAGATGTGATGCTATACCATGGAAAATAAGACTTGAATTCTGACTGCCTCTGGTAGGATTGAGCCTGGATACAACAGGTGGTTAAACCTGCTGGGAGAGAGCAAGAGACCCAGGTATGAGGAAGGATGGGGGATGGGGATGCAGGGACCAGGAGCCAGGACAGATCTGACCACATCCAGTTACATACTGGACCAACCTGCCTTTGTCCTCCCTCCCTTCATCCCTCCCTTCATCCCTCC